CCATATTGTAAAAAATTCGCTGTACCTAAACTTTATTGACAGACTGTATATACATACATAGAATTGTACGTACGTATGTATGTAACGAGTTCGCGTAATTTTTCAATGTTTGCATTAAAATATCTGTTTATTTCTGCAATTTTTTTTGACTTGAAGTAGTTGTAGCAATCAAATGTCTGTTTTGCAGCGAAGCTGTTTTCGTTTTTCATTTTATTTTATATTACTGAATGAGAATTTGAATGTGTACATATGGCCAAATCCAAAAGCATTTGCAGTCAATTTATCTGTATTAAGAAAAATAAAGTATGGATTTGCGGGATACACTGAAAAAAATTTCACTTCAAACTCAAAAAAAAAAATGTTAACGAAGCTTTTTTGAAAGTCATCCGACACTGGCAGTTCATTTATTACGTCGTAATGGACATTAGGTATTACAATAAAACTCACTCGTATCAACTTGATAATCCTTTTTTCACTTCTCTCCCAATAACTAAAATGTTTGCAAAAAAGGGTTTGGTTATATGTATGTAAATACGTATGCAAATTGGGTAAGTTAAAAAGGATTTATTATAATATATGTATATGTACATACCCTGTGGGAAAAATTTCTAGTTCTGAACCGGGCGCTTCTAGTACATTTAGACCCAGTACTGATTCGCGATAAACCGGCGAATTTAACATGGCGATGTCTTAGGAAGTGTCAATTGCCCCCTGCTACATCCCTTTTTCGATAGTTTAGAATCAATGCTAAATTCGACAAATAGGATCTAGTGCGCTTTGTATCCCTTTTTCGATAGTTCCGAACTAGTCCTAATTTCTATAGTTCCGAACCAGTTCTAAAATCGACAGACGAAAGAAAAAAGTATCATGATTTTTTCAATCTTTAAATTATTTTCAAAGAAATGTGTGTTCAATTTGAAATTAAATTTGTTTGAATGATTGTAAGAAATGTAAGTTTACATACCTTGGGCTGTAGCTGAGTTTGCAGAGGTGCTTGCAATTATTGATTAGATTCTAGAAGATCCCAAGATGTTAAAATGTTAATACAAATTATTATTTTGTATTACCAAGCTATGAAAAAACATTTGCGGGGATCTAGTTACTATTGGACTGGTTCGTTTTTGGCGATAAAGATCTAGTACGGAACTAGAAATTTGATTCACTAGTCTGCGGTTTCCCTGCAGGGTACGTACATATGTAAGTGTGTGTAAGTAAACAATGTTTTGTTTTTTGAATTTTAGTATTTATACGCTTTTTGACTGCCTTCTGTGTGACTTTATGCTTGTGCTAACTAAGTTTTCCTATCAGAAATGTTCCTGGCGAACCTAGAACACCCACTTACCATTTTTCATAGAAGATACCCCCTTCAATTTATATTTGTTTACAAACGAAACAAATTTTAGGTCTGTTTTTTTTTTTTAATTTCTGGGCATATTTCGGGCAAACAAACATAAGTACGAAATGCTCTCAAAAAAGAGAAAAAAAAAATGTCTCAAACCACAGGAATGCAAAAAACTTAGTTTCTTGCCCGAAACTAACCGTCAAATAGTATAAAATTATAAATCTAAAAACCGAGCGGACTATTTTTGCGGGCGTGCAAAAAAATACCTTTTGTTATCCAATAGAACCCTAGTAATCGTAATGGTTCTGGTATTCGTTTTGTATTAAATTTCCCATATATTTCATATTTCCCCGACCAAAACGATCGAGTACTCACAGAGTACAGAAGAAAGACAGATTCACAAAAATTTCTTTGAAAACATGCAAAAACGCCAGTTTTTCATCAAAAATTATTTTAGGCCGCTGATTCCCCTATTGTATTTTCTCCACTTGCTTTATATGGGAATAGCTGTGAAATCCTGTGGTACTATTCCGTTAAATACCATCAGGTAAATAGGTTTTATTTTTATTACTACTTTTAACGAAGTTATACATAAGTATAATATACATTTTGGATGCTTTCCAATGATATTCACAGGTTTTTACATAAAAAAACATTACCCTAAATATTATTTGACAAATCACACAATTAATAATATTAGAGAATTGATTCAAAATCTTACGTTTTGGAGGATTTTATCATACGAAAATAAGCTCGATAAGAGGAATACGTTCAGTCTATATATAATTATAGTCCCCAAAAATGACGAAAATACATACATACATACATATATACTTAGGTGAAAAGGTGCCAAGTCCACTGTTTTTTAATTTAGTTTTTGATGCAGAAAGACAGATAATGCGAAACTACATCTATTTTTCGTTCCTTGAATAATTAAAAAAAAATGGCCTTGCCACCTTTTCACTTATATGTGTCTTCTTATAGGTGTCTTTCCATAAATTTTTTGGCGTTTTCCCCCAAAATTAAAATTTTGAAATTGCACAAAATCAATCGTCGCATTTTTTCAGTGTATGGTTCTTGGGCCGAATGGCAATGGCAATTGATTATATGTAATATGTCTGCACAGCCGTGGTGATGCGTAATGATGAATCTGTGTAACTTTGGCCTGAACGGTGACGTTGAACATCGATTGAAACAGTTCTTAAGGAAGTAGCCGCGCTTCAAATCAATTGTAGAAGTCTTGCAAGAATGTTGTGCTCGAAGGGAAAAGCAATTTTATTACTGTTCACGATGGTATTTGCATTTGCAGTTACACAGACCCAGTCGGTTTATCTAAATCAGAAACAGAAACAGAACAAATTGAATTTAGGCAATCTCGTTAGAAACTTACTAACAAATATGGAACGAAGTGCTGTTTGGGATGAAAATTTGCATTTTTCGCTCATCATTTCCGAGTTTATAATAAAACGTAATATATCTTTTTTTTTTGTTTTAATATTTTATCGATTTTTGCACCGTATTTTAAATTCTAACCCATAAATTAGAAAAAGTGCGTTTTTATGAGCCGACTCGTTTCGAAAGCCAACTATACGATGAGATTTTAAAAAGAATTGGTGCATTTCGAGCCAGAATTATATTGAACGACGGAACTGGCAGATTGGCTAATATATTGCAGAAGAGCGTAATGTTGGTTAGGCCTGTAGTTGTCGAAAACCAGATCAACACTGAGTTGGAATATAAAACCCTGGAGCGAAATTATGACAATTTACAAGATATCGGATTTCCGAACTCAACATTTTCAGGTAAGTCACATACATATGTACATATATACATATGTATATATATGTGCACATATACAGTATTGGTCAATACAATAGCACCCCCATTTCAAAGTGATATTGTTTGCCACTCATGTTTATTTATTTATTTTTAAGAATTTTCAATTAAAATATAGTTCATTCTCTCACCAAACTCACATAAACTCAAGTTTAAAACTTTTTAAAAGACCGCAAAAAAGTGCAATAAAATTTCACCCAAATTTCAAACTTTTTTCTCAGAAGCGGTAGAATTTTTTTGAATACACAGTTTTATAGCCCATTCAATTTTAGTCTAATAATGTGCAAGTTTCAAGTGGCTAAAAATTACCGTTGATTTTTTAGAATTTTTTTCGCCGAGGATGTTGCGGGTTTCTGCCATATAAAAATAAATTGTGTTTAATCGTTACATGGAAGCAAATGAGACAAAAAAAATTCTTAAACATTGGTAAATATGCTCGCAAAACAACAAAATTTAAGTACAGTTTAATGTTTTGGTTTTTAATTCAGTCTTGCAAAATTTTTTTAAATATTCGTTATTCTCCGTTTGAGATAAGGTATTTTTTATCTCTACAATAACACCAATGCCTTCCGTAAGTTCTTAAGAAATTTGCTACGCTCTCTACTATAATTTGCTGAAGTTTGTTTGTGAAGAGTACAGGGGGCACCTTTGTTTTCAACGGAAATATATGGCCGTTCCATTAGTTTGGAAGGAAAGAGTGAGACCGCAGGCTGTAGAATATCAGATGTCAAAACTCATTGGACACTACTATTCACACGCACGAAATAATAGCAATTTATTTCTTGAACGTTTACTTAAAAAATTAAGTTTGGAAACTTTGTATAAGCAAAATAAGCAAAAGCTTAAACTTTTCGGTCCTGGTAATTATGCAGAAATGACATTTTCAGGATAAGTTGTCGAAAATCTGAGCTTTAATTAAATTCCAAGTAGAAAATTCGATAAGCTTTTGTTTCATTGAACTAAAATGACTCTAAGTGAAGAGATGGTTTTTTTCTGTGGTCGAAAGTTCAAAGTTCAAGGGGCAGGTTCTATTATTTAGCACTTGTTACTTCGCCAGAGCTTCACAAACATTGCCTAAAATCCGATTTTTTACAGTTCCAAAACATTTTTCTCAAAATCTGGAACTGATGGGAGCTTTATACCTACGGATTCGTAATCAGCTTAAAAAAATCTATAAGAAATAGCTTTAACTTCTGCCTCACCAGAATTAGTGTTCCCTTGTGTGTTATCAAAATTAAACTAAAAGTCATTCAAATTATAATTTTTTTTAGATTTCTGCCTGCTACATATTAGCGCCTTGGATAACTGTGATTCCATTGAAAAGGAGTGCCTCCGAGTGATAAGTTCCAATGCACCGTCGTACGGTTACCGGCGAATGCATCAGTATGTTCCCCTAAACATATCTATAAACGATATTAAAAAAATCCATTTATACATACATATTTTCATACTCGTATATATGTATGTACATATAACTTCCCTTACTACTCTACAGAATTCTAATCCTTTATGTGCTGATGCACCACAGCTGTGCTCCGAACTTTGGCTCTCCACTCGTTTATGAAATTCTCTCAACACATCATTGCTCGCATGTCTATCGTGAACATCGGATTTTGTCCATGGCGCATTCTCAAGCTCGTCGGGAATTGTATATCGAGCAAAGTAAGTATCTGTTTATATACATGAATGGCGCTGATTTACTAAAAAGCTGTCACAACTCAAAAACAGCGCTTTGGAGAATAAGGCGCGGAATTATCCGGCACACCTTTAGGTCGTCGCATAATGTGGTCAAAAACAAATTCAGCGTGGGGTTTTCGCGTGGAAAACAAACACGCAGCTTTATTTTTTGCGTGGTCAGGTGCGGATTAAGGAGCCTCGATGCTCTTGGCGGTAGCAATACGTTAGGCCCCGATTAGTAAATAGGCGGAAGGAAGAACCGGAAATACTGAAATTAGACGCATTTATTTTCAAAACAAACGAAATGTTTTTTTTTTTTTTGAAGTTGGTAATAAACCTAAACAGTTCAAAATAATACACTAAAATACCGCGGCTCATCTTTTCCAATGGCAAAACTATGAGAATTTAGCTCGCTTCACTAAATCGACATCCACGGCCTCATATAGTTGGACGATAGATTTAAACCAAAAAAAACTTTGAAATTTTTCGAGACTTTCGTAAATAAATTCTCACAAATACTTACATATGAATGTATGCATTAGAGGTAGGGAAATACCTAAAAAAAAAAAACCTGAACATTTGAGCCCTCAATACTAATATTAAGTGCTCGACCAAGGCGTGCAAAGATACCCCATTTAAAATACACGTAAATTTTTTTTTATTTTTTATTCTTCAAAATTCTACAGCTCAGAGGCATTTTATGGTATAATTTTCGTTGATTATAGGGTTTCTTTAGAATTGAATGCTCTACAAAAGTGTGTATTGCGGCGTAGCCATAACTCCCACCAGCGAGGTAGTACCGTACTACTAGTACGGGTCACTAAACCCAATTTTTTCATGAAAGTATCGTTTTTTGCCCTATCTCGTAAATAACAAGAGGCATGGGCGTAGCCAGGTAGGGGCAGGGGGTGCTCGAGCCCCCCCCTAACTTTCAAATTTTCCTTATATATATATAAAATAGTACCCTGAAATGCCAGCTTAATAGGGCTTTCAAAGCTATTCCTAAAAAGTTGCAGTTTTTAAATAGGTTGTGACAGTCGTTTAGCTAATTAGCAATATCCGCTTTGCAAATATGTATGTACATATGTATGTATTTTCTATTTATGCTTGAATGTAGGTGCATTGTGTGGCCTATTCGGTTTTAAAGAGTTTCTTAATATGGCCGAAATAAGGAAAATTGTTTCCTGGGATAAATTTGGAGTTTGCCATTGTGTCGGTGGTGTAAGCGTATTTCGTGCCTCGGATGAAATGGATATTTGCAAATGTGCCGATCACTCCCACAGTGTGGCTTTACTTTTTTATGTGAATGCTATGCTGTTTTTAAACTGAAGACATGTAAATATCTACATATGTACGTCTCCCTCATTTACTTACATACATATGTGCATACATGAGTACTGTCTGTATCCAAATACATTAAAATAAAAAAAATAAAAAATAATAATAATCTAGTACTATGCATTAATATATATGTATATGTATATAAATACATACACACAAATATATGGAAATAACGACAGATTTAAAAACATTTTTATGAAAAACATATACGAAAATGTATGTAGATAGAATACGCGTCCTTAAATGAGATGTTCATAGGCATTAAATAACACTTCAAATCTTTATCTGTTCCCATATATCTAATATATTTGCGTGCAATTATTTTAAATAGCTTACATAGTCAGTAAGAATTTATTGTTCATTTGACTGAATTAATTAATTAATATGTACATATGTATTATTATGTAATATGGAATCACTGATATGTGTCTATGCATGGAAGGGGCAATAAAGCCACATTCTGAGCGATGGTATGTTGTTGCAACGAGTTTACGAAGCTTATTCCGCCCGGTTACTGTAATTTATGTATATACATAGGTACAATATGTAGTGTCGTAGTTGTAAACACAAGAAACTTTTTATAATACATTTTTTTTTAGTTATACGGGAACCCCGCACAAGTACATATACATATGTAACTGCCCTGCAGTAAAATTTAGAGACAGTCTCTTAAAGCGCTAGTTCCGCCCTAGACATTTCAGAACCATCTCTGAACTAGTGCAAAACGGCTGCAGAGAGGGACAGTTGAAACTCTCGGTGTGTTAGTTGCGCTCTGTTGAGAAGTAAATGCACAAATTCTCACGTCTCGTACAATACTCAAATAGCTCAGCGGGAAGACCTCCGACTCTAACATCGTTGGTCGCGAGTTCAAATCGCGGTGGAGGCAGTTGTGATTTTCAGATTTAATAAATTTAAATTGTTGAGTGCCGTTTTAAAATTGAAGAGAAAATGATCAAATTTAATATAAAGAAAATAAAAGAATAATAAAAAAGAAATAAAATGCAATCTGTAAAAGAACAGAAAAAATGAAATAAATAAAAAAAACGAATAATCAGATTTTTTTTTAAATAAAAAACTTATTGTCGCAGATCTGTCTAAAATGGAACCAGTTTAGAATAGAAAAATAATCTAATAATCGAGTTTTAAAATTTTTTCTCATAGAAAAACTTACTGTCCCAGAACTGTCCAAATGGAACCAGGGGGGCAATTTCCACTTCGTAGGACATCGCCATGTAAAAAGAGACAGTTGAAAGCATTGCGTTGGGATAGATCGAGAACCAGTACCGCCTCTTAAAGAGCTAGTTCTGCGCTAGTCCTGAACTAGCACGATTTACTGCAGGGTATGAACACACAAATACGGAGAATGAAATTCCTATTTTCAAATTCTTTTTCTCGGCTGAAAATTGCAATTTGAAGATGACTGCTTTTGTATTTAGAATTTTGAATACCGAATGAATCCTAAAAGTGTACCAGGAAAAAATTTAAGTGTCAGCTGGGCTGTTCACAGTTCGTTCCAAATAGTGACTCAGAATAAAGACGTCTACGTTTTAAGACGTTTTCTAACTAAAATCTGTGATGTTGTGGGTTTCCATACAAAATGGAAATGACGCCGTCTACATTTTGACACACTCAAAGGTATGTTTTTTACGCGTCTACATTTTGCAACCTCGCAGCAGGTGGGGAGGTTTCCGTATTTGCATTTGATTTGAGCGCATTAGCTGTTGAAAACAAACAAATCAAGAAAAATAATAAACAAATATTAGCAATTGGTAATTAAGGTAAACAATTAAAATTTTTTAGAACCAAAATCAAAAGTTGACATATAAAAAATGGACGCAAAGAAGAAATGTCTGGCAACACCAGTAAAGTTTTGTGACGACTGCTAGAAAGGAGTGCTTTGATGGAACGAACTGTGAACACCCCAAACATTTCGTTCAAACTCTACTACGTTGTTGCTATGGTTACTAGGAACCAATGTGTAGGTCGGTCAGCAGTTTTGGATTCTAAAGCATAAGTGCGACATGAGATAAGAATTTTAGGAAAGCTTGTTATCCTAAGAAAAAAGCGCTGCCATTTATTTGAATGTTTAAACTGGTATAGCTCGACAAAAAACCGGTAGAAAAAAAATTCTTTTACACATAAAAAAAAAAAAAAAATCTGGTATAAAATGTTCTCTTGGTACAGTTGGCGAATTTCGCCCCATATACTTAAATATGAGGTATCTATTTATGTGGGAGGTTGAGCGTTAAATCCAGTTGGACTTGTTTTTACAACGGCCATATACATGTATGTACATTAGACTGCATCACTCCCCATACAAAAAAAAAATCTGTACTATTTTTCCATTGGAATTATAAAATCTATTATATTTTAAGACGTCCACCAAAATATTTCGAAAAAATATTAAGATTTAAGTGAGCTGGACCAATTTCAAAATACCTCCAGTAATGGAGGTTTTTATGAATAAAAATAGTTTCTTAAAAATTCTTTTTGAAAAAATTCCCTCAAATGACAAAACGGCTTAAGCTTAAAAACTTTGCATAAAAATATAAAAAAAAAAATTAAAATTAAATTTAAACGTTTTTTAGTTTTATAGTTTTGGTCCAGTTATTCAAGTTTTTCGTAAATCAATCTTCGAAAAAAGTAAAAAAACAGCATCAAAAATCTCATTCTTACGATTCCGTTGAAAGGATTTTTGAATATTTTTATGCAGATTTTTTAAGCTTAATCTGTTTTGTCATCTGAGGGAACTTTTTTCAAAAAGTTCTTTACGAAACTATTTTTATTCATAAAAAACTCCATTTTTGGAGGTATTTTCAAATCGGTCCAGCTCACTTAAATCTCAATCTTTTTCCCAAATATTTTGGTGAACGTCTTAGAATATAATAAATTTTGTAATCCCGGCGGAAAAACCGCAACTTTTTTTTTGGTGATGCAGTCTAATGTACATAAATACATCGAGGCCCACGTTATAATTCATTTCAGCTCCTTACAACATAGTTCAGTCGCAGACCGTTTCAGCTCATCGGTAAAATGCAGCTCTTGTAAGTAAGTAAGTATGTACATTACAAAAATGCCTGTGAAAAACTAAAGTCGGAATTTTAATGCCCTAGGATTCTTCTATATCCTAGGGGTGAGAGCATTAAAATTCCGACTTTGCTTATTTTGGACCACCCAAACATACATACATGCCAAGATACAGCCCAATTTGAGTTTGCTTTATAACTGATTATATGTATACTTGCCAACCGATGTAAATCAACAAATACAAACTTTTCCCTTTCGTATTGGGATCGACCTGGTTTAACAGCCTTCCTAATGTGCAAATAAAATTTTTTCAAATTTTCCCCCATAAATATGAAGCTCCAAGAGTGAATGCATGGTATTATACATTACATTTGTTTATTTTCCTGAACTTAGCACTGGGCAGTTTTGGCACTGGGGCCAGTATTTTGACACCCAAGGAAGGGTTGGTGCTTTTTTTTTTTTTAAACAAATGTGTGTATATTAAAATGCGGTGTTTTTGAACCAAACGTGTTGATATTTATTGTTCTTTAGGAATGAGCAAATATGGATTTTACCCATCACTATGTGAACAGTGAAAGGAAAGGCTTCAATCGACAACCCTTCTACTCAAATGTGTATGTATGTGTGTGTATGTATGTGTATTTAAAGTTTCGTAGAAGATCATTGTCCTTGTAACTTGATGAGCTAATTTACCGCTATCGCAGGACTTCATATTTAGATTACCTCCCTCAAAAGTAAATACATACATACTTTGTGTATAAAGGGCAAAAATAAAGAAAAGGCCAAAATCGTGTTATATTGAATTTCTTTGGGTGTCGACTAACTTAAAAACTAAAAAGCATTAAAACATTTCATTTTCACACATACATATATGTATTTCTCGTTATGATAAGAAAACCTTATCTCACAAATTCTTCAAATTTTACTGAAAAATTCAAAGTTTCGGGTAGCTGAATGGAAAATCTGATGTGAAGGATTTGCACAATTCGCAATTTCCGTATTCTTCTGAATGAAATAGTCTTAATTTTATCAACAGGACATCCTCTCAGGCTCTCTGTTGAGTAAAGTGTTTTTTTTTGTTTTGCTAATGTTGACGCATGCGCATTCGTTAGCGTTGTTTTTGTACTATATATCCTTCAATAAATGTTACAAATTATCATTGGCAAACAGACAGATCTAAGTAAGTAAGTGGCAAAATCTTGCGGCATATTTTTTTATATTTTTAATTCGTCATCGAGGAAAGCATGAAATACGTGGCTAGTCGCGACCGGAATGCTTCGAAAGCCAGTCAACCGCCGGAGACTTTTCCTGGCGTTTCTTCCGGTGTATGACCCCCTTGCCTCACGCGTTCAACATGTCCACGCCACCGCAATCGCTGCAGCCTTCTCATCTTTGTTCGACATCGTTTCTGCGCCATATAAAAAGACGGGCATGATGAGGGATTTGTAGAGCGTTTTCGGTCGGCGTGAGAATTGGCTCTGCCTTTCAATAGCCTACCGAGCCCAAAGTAGCACCTGTTGGCAAGAGTTATTCTTCGCTTGATCTCCAGGCTGACGTTGTTGGTGGTGTTTATGCCGCATCCTAGGTAGACAAAGTCCTTCGCTACTTAAAAGTTATAGCTGCCAACAATGACGTGTGTCCCGAAACGCGTGGACTCTTTATATGTTGCCAGGAGGCACTTTGTCTTGCCCTCGTTCACCGCTAGACCAATCTCTCTAGCTTTTTTTTCCCTTCGTCCCTTTGTTTCAGACCTACGTTATCGATATCATCTGCATACGCCAGCAGCATCATTCTTTTGCTATGTATGGTGTCGCTGCGATTCAGATTGGCCGCTCTTATTTATTACGCTTTCCAGCATCAGATTGAAAAATTCGGACGGTAGGGAGTCGCCTTGTCTAAAACCTCGTTTGGTCTCAAACGGCGCGGAGAGGTCCTTCCCAAATTGGATGGAGCTGAAGGTT